AGTTTCTCTTAGTTTTTATCTTTCTGGTTTAAAATTTTAATAATAATAATAATAATAATAATAATAATAATAATAAGAAGAAGAAGAAGAAAGAAGAAGAAGAAGAAGAGATGATTGTGGAGTTTGGGCATTTCCATCTGCAGAATGATTTGGAACCAACTTGTTCCTAGAAGGAGATCTGGTTTGGTCTCTGCATTGGATCGGGGCTACCCCTTAGACAGAATGAAGCTCTCACCTTGGGAAGTGGACCGGGATAGGTGGGGAAACAGGTCTAGTACCCATGCTGTGTCCTTCTAATCACCTGATCATACAACATGCATTACTGTGAAATGATTTTTTAGAGAGATGTATTATGAATATTGGAATAATATGAGAAATGCATAGGCATTTAAGGAATGTTTAAAATAAGTACTCTGCAACTTTGGTTCACAGGAAACTATTAAACAATAGATACAAACAATGTAAATTTTCCATCATAAACATGGCCAAAGCCATCTTGCTGGATCAGAGCACTTGCATAAAAAAGGATGGCTTTGCTCTGGAAAAATGTCTGAGCTCTATTTTAGACTTATGCTCAATTGCCATTCCCTGTTTTTTGCGCAAGGTGCCATGAAAGTAAAAATCTAAAATAATCACCAATGCTATTTTAACTAGAGGTGTTGAAATGCATAGTCACTAGTTAAGGCACTGACATCATTATCTGATATGTATGAAAACATTTGTAAACTTCAGATTTCTATTATGTTCTGATCTATAAATTACTATTTTTCAGATATAGATGAATGTCTGGAAGGTGGAATTCACATTTGTAGCCAAAATTGCTACAATGTTCCAGGATCCTTTATCTGCTCTTGTATGCCAGGCTATTCCTTGGGTGATGACAAGTGGTCTTGTCATGGAATCGGTAAGGTTAGTCTGTTGTTTTTGACCAGTTTATCATAAAGGCTGTTCATATAAAAGGAAACACTGCTTCCCTCCCTCCCCAAATTTGCATCCTTCATCTGAAATGTGAAGCTGGTGATATTTTGTATGTCTTTGGCACATCAGCACCCAAACTCTGGAAATTCTTTCCCAGGGAAATACGAATGGTCTTCTCCTTTATTTGGCTAGTTACACTGAATGCCATCTCTAAATATATTACTGATCCCTAGTTTTATAGTACAATTTTCCCCCATTGTCTTGCTTTGCTTTTTGTTCTTTACTTATTGTCCTTTTTAAGAAAAGTATTCAAAAGTATTTTCTGTGGAAGAGGGCATGTAAACACCTTTTCACATTGAAACCAGATCTCTCGACATGAGTGTGTCTGTCTGTCTAGGAAGCATATTGGCACCAGTGAATATGCAGTGCTGCTCCTCTCTCAACATTCTTTGAATGTGTGAAATCTTGCATATAAATGACTCAATTGTATCTTGCATTTAGCCAAAGAGCATTCCAGTTCAAATTTTGGATTCACTTTTACTTGAATAAATGTGTGAAATCTTGCATATAAATGACTCAATTGTATCTTGCATTTAGCCAAAGAGCATTCCAGTTCAAATTTTGGATTCACTTTTACTTGAATAAATGTGTGAAATCTTGCATATAAATGACTCAATTGTATCTTGCATTTAGCCAAAGAGCATTCCAGTTCAAATTTTGGATTCACTTTTACTTGAATAATCTAACTTATAAATGAGGAAAGAAATATTAAGGGGATAATTACATAGCGGATTTTAAAAACCATGAATATGGAACTCAGTTAATTGCAATAAAGTTGGTGTAAGATCTTAAGCTAAATAGCTAGAGAAAATGTATGAGAATGTAAAGAAAATAAGAACTCAAGCATAGAAAAGCCTGAAGAGCTGGGGTGTAGCAAAACAGAAGAGAGAGAAAGGGAAAGAAGAAAGGAAAGGCATTTGCAACATCCCCTCCTCCCCAGCACTGTGCCCCACTGAGACTTCACTCTATGTAGCTATAAGGGGAGTGGTGAACTTGGGGTGCAAGAGATTCTGACTGATAGCAGTGGACACAGAAAAACTGTAGGTATCATGCTTGAAGGCTGCCCAGGAGCATTGGCTGGGGGTGAATTGTGGTTTGGAGGGCAAAGAAGAAAAGCCAAGAGGAGAAGTTTGGAAGTCTAACCCAGAAGGAGGAGATGTCAGGAGAACTATTACATGGACTTTGTGCAAAGGCAATTACAGTACCAGTGAACATACAGTACTTGTCAAGGGAGAGAGGACACATGGATTATTTAACTATGGATGATGGTCTTAGAATGCACTGCACCTTTAAAGAGTTTATTCAGGGGTGGGTGTAAGGAACAAGACTGTAGTTGAGAGTAGACCTCCGCATAGAAGACTGGAGGACTCACCCCCACTATAGCTTAATGTTATGTTTCCATTATACCATGTTACGCTGTTCATGTGTCTGAATACTGTTTCCTAATTATATAAGTAAAAGCTGTAAGAAGTTCAGAACAAGAAGTGGAGTGTTTTTTATTAATGGATATCCCCAAAGGGGAGTGGGAATTGCCCTTAAGAGCCCCTTGCTTATGTGAGGTTTGGCAGCAGATTTGATAAATTCTATTTGTTTTATACTAGAAAGAAATTCCCCCATGGGGAATCAGCTTTTGACCTCAAGAGCAGGCTCTGTATTTCAGCAAGGCCTGCATGTTTATTGGGTATTAGATAGGGAGTTTTTTCATGGCACAATGTGCCAGCCCTGCTGAATAGTTTTGATGTGTTTCTGATTTGGAATGGAAAACATGAATGCATAAAACAAATTCTTTCTATTCAGCAAAATGCTTTGTACTAAGTTGCTGAATTTGGTATTTGTCATACTTTAAGTGGCTTGATCATGGGCAGAAGGAACCTGGCTTCAGAAATAATTGTTAGAATCTTGAAACTGATTAAGTTAACATAGAATAAAATTAGAGTATAAGCCATATATATATTCCTGACTTTGTCAACTCATTGTCAAATGATGGTGTATTAAGTCATTTCGTACATACAGTGGGGCCAACATTAAAATAGTTAGTTGACAGTGATTAAAAACACCATAATTTACTGAATCTTGCCTCAGATAGTAGATGTGGGGGTATATAAAAAGAAGGAAAATGAAGAGTTGGAAGAGGAAGTGGGGTAGCTAAAGTGGAAAAAGAAGGTTAAAAAGAATGTGAAGGATGGTACTAAATAGGTAGTACCAATGATACTTTTGTTGACGTTGCAGATTGCAGTGCCCTGCCTTATAAACTCTTTCTAACAGATGTGTCTAATCCCTAATTCTAGAAATCAGGAAATATTGATGGTTGAATTTTTCCGAGTTTGCAGATCCATGCAACAGTGACAACTTTATCAGCCAATGTTCAAATCATTAACTTTAATGAGATGTGATGGGTTTAGTTAGTCATTGCTGCTTTTCTAGGTTTCATGAGATAAAACTACCATATTTTACAGCATGACTACATGAATTTAAAATATCTATACTATTTTTCCAATATACCAGATCTTTATACTACCCATTTTTAGAGGAAACAGTAGCAAGAAACAGTAGCATATACCCGATTTCATAATACCAATAGGAAGAAAAATGACTTTTCTCACAGAATTCATTTGGTCCTCTAAGGACTAGAGTACTGGAATGAAAATTTCCATGTATATACAACATAGTAACTCAGAGTCGATCACATGAGTAACTGGAAAAAAATTACAAACAATCCAGCTGTCAGATTCTGGAGACAAATTAATTTGTTGCACTTCAGCATGTGTTTATCACTTACACACAATGTCCAGATGTTTTAATAGTGCAAATAGGAGAAAATAGTATCCCATGATAAGCCTTGTTATAGCAGTCATAGTGGAAAATGGCAGCCACATTCCTCTTGAATAGTTATAAAACAAGACTAGCTGCAGGAGAAGATGAAGCAGAGAAAGAAGATTTGGTACTGAAAATATGGATGAACTTTCATTCTCAAAAAAGGTAAATTCAGCTGAGTATAGATTAGCCACATCATATGAATCAAATGTTTTGAACTGAGATTGCAGGTTTTAACATGCATATTTTAACCCTCACTTCTACTAATCCCAAATGGGTTCTATCTCTTTGCTATGTGTATGTGTGTGGATGATAGATGATAGATTGATGATAGATAGACAGAACATGCTCAGAGTGATACAGAACTGAACCCTTTATATGTTTACTCAGATTCAAAAGCCAGTGGTATCTGTGGAGTTAGCTCCCTGAGAAATGTATATAAAACTGTAGCTAAACTTTGATAAAGCATGTTTTAAATCAAGCCCTGAGTTATGGGTAATTACTTCTATTAATATAAAATGTTATGCCTTAACATTGAACATTTTATTTTATAGTACATACATTTGCATCTTTTGAATGGAATTGTTTGCTATATTTCATATTTTTGAAGGGTGCATTAAATCTTGAATTTGAGGGAATCTATAATGCAGAAAACAATAGTATAAAACCATTCGCTTTGAAGAACAGGCATTTTTTTTCACTCCCACCCCCCTTTAGATCCTATACCATTCCTAGTTTTCAGCCAAGGAACTGCCATCTATAGAATAGATATAGAAGGAACCAATCACCAAAGACTTGTAGCTGATGTTGGTTTATCAGCATTAATTGATTTCCATTATGAAGAAGAACATCTTTATTGGGTGGACAAGGAAAAACATCTTCTCCAACGTATACATTTGGATGGCTCAGATCAAGAGGTAATGAAATAATAATTTTCAAAATTCCTCCTGATAGTATATAAGAAGGGACATTTTTACCAAGAGAGTATCTCTGTGTTTTCTTGGAAATGCAGTGATATGGTGACACAGTTTGTCTTGGGGGTTGATGAAGTTAATGCAGTTTATATGGACTACCTCATGATTTTTCCCTATTATAAATATCCTATTTTAAACTTGAGGAAAGAAGAAGGAAGTTAGTGTCTATATTAGGGTTTTGCAAATTTTTCTTCAAGAACTTGGTGAAACTTCTGTGAGCGACCAAGGGCAAACAACAACCAAAAATGGTCACTCAAATGTGGCCAATTTTCTGTCTCTAGAGCAGTGTTTCTCACTCTTAGCAAGTTTAAGATGTGTGGATTTCAATTCCCAGAATTTCCCAGCCAGCATGGGAATTGATCCATACATCTTAAACTTGCTGATGTTGAGAAACACTGCATTAGAACTTTGCTTCTTGATCAGGGGTTCTGGGACTTTTTTTTTTTTTTTCTGTGATTCTGTGGCCTGAAAAAGTTTGAAACCTCCTGGTCTAGGTCACTAAGTAGTACATTTTACTAGTTCCTTTACTATGTATGATGTCATATGTAGTATACAGTATAACCTTTATTTTGCACATAATAGAGGCTCAGTTTTTAAAAATTTAATAGCCCATTTGTCATGCCTTAGTTAGGCTGCAATCCTGTGGTTCATGGAATTGTGTCCCAAGACTCCAAGTTAGATAAAGGGGAAAGAGATCCATGGACAGAGGCAGTCCCTCTTTTCAAGTTACCTTGCGGTGGGAATGGAAAGTTCCAACGGTGTCATTTCAGTGTGGCAATGACAAAACTAAACATTCTAGAGATGTTTAGTGGCTGAATCAAGGAAGTTTTGCATTCACCTGATTCTAAGTCCTTGGGCTCTCCAAATATATATTCACAATAGGAGTGTGTGGCAGGAGACGTGGGCCAGTGGGAGACAAAGACTGGAGAAAGATGAAAGATGGCCTGTGTTCTTGGATTTTGCATATCCCACCACCAAGAGTTGTCAGCCCAAAGCATGAAAGGTTTTATAAAAGTACAAAAAACAAACAACCCCTCAGATTTGCACTTCAGGAGTGATAGTTTATGTAGTCCTTGGGTTGGTTTTCCTTCTTCTGTTAAATTTAATAATAAATGCCTAAAGACATCTCCTTAAATTTTAATCCAAGGAAGCTTTCATCATAATGAACTGTACAACTCATTATCTAGTTAAGGTTCATGAGTTTCAATGCCTTAATAGTGATAGCCAAAGGATTGGTTGCCTTTTAGTATAACAATTTAGTTTTTGTGTGTGGATGTGCTTATGTTACAGACCATTTGCTCCATAAAAAAGGACGTTACTGGATTTGCAATAGATTGGATAAATCGAGGCATTTATTTGGCTCACTCCCAAATAATTGAGGCAATCAGCTTGGATGGAAACCATTCCCGAATCCTTATAAGGGACAATCACAATCCTACAAGTATTGCAGTTGATCCAAGTCAAAGGTATTTCCACCAGATATAGTCACTGCAGAAGCAAAACTCAAAGTTTAAATGGCATACAGTAATGGTTTGGAGAAAATGTGATGGGAAAATGAGCCCAATATTTCCCCTCTTCCCTTATATGTTCAGCTTAGTAAGTAAATGCCTGGTTTAATCAAACCATAATTTGCTTTTATATCTGTCATACAGTGATTTCAGGAAGCCTGTAATCTGAGGATTGCAGATATGTTTCTGCATATTGCAAGTACTGTAAACCACCTTGTATTTTGACAATAAGAAAGGTGCAGAAATATTTTTGGTAATTAATAATTAAGCCCTAGGATGAAAGCAAAATAAAGAATACTAGATAATGAATTAGTTAATAAAAGAATCTATGACCTTTTCAGTTGCTTGGATAATTGTAGAAGCAGTGATGATCATTGTTCTTATTGGCAGGTTTTTATTTTGGTCTACTGAAGGGACTTTTGATAGCATCTATCGAGCAGATCTGGATGGGAAAAAGAGATGGAGAGTTCTAAGGAGCACAGAAAAAATCAAAACCATTTCCCTGGACTTTATCAATGTGAAGCTGTTCTGGATACAGCATGATGCCATTAATGAAATTTCATATTTTGGAACCTGTGACTACAATGGTCATTTTATCCATCTATACAGACAAATGGGACGGTATGTTTATGGCTATACAGTAAAATGGCAAACAGTTAAAAAAAAAATCTATGGGTGTAGACTTTTGCCAAGGTGTTGAAGTGGATGAGTAGCTATCCCTCGTAATGTTGTTGCATTCATCCTCCTTCTTCTGAACCTTTTGCAGTTCTGTGTACATGGAAGTAGTAAGAACTCTGACAGTAATGCTGGTTAGTTTTATGGGAAGAAGCCTGTTCTGTTCCTAATATTTGTCACAGCACCTGAACCTCCAAACAGAAATTTTAATACTTTTAAGGTTCATGAGATGAAATTAAAATCAATGATTCATAAAAAAGCATTTTGACTGTACTGCTAAAGAGGTTTTTACGACACAATGAAATGGTAAAGAAGAGAGTCATGATCCCAACATACCATAATTTGTAGGCATTAGATAACAAGACTTTTGTCTGAAGGATTGTCCATATTCATATAGTACCCCTGATCAAGATACTACCTCCAGAGTTAACACAGAGTAAACCTCTGTGCAAAAGACTGTGTGATTACTAATGGCTTGGTCAAATGGGTTATCATCCCAGCCACCTCTGTCACTTTCTGCATTTAAAAAAAAAAAAACTTTTGGAAAAAAATCGGTGGTGGCTCAGGGATTGCAGGTGGAGTTGGAGGAGTATTGCCCATCCATGTTTCTTTTCACATTCTACACTTTCCATTGTGACATAGAGGCATGAAATGAGAAATGAATGGAGAGACATAATTCCTAAAGCAGTCCTATGTTTTCAAGGCCACTCTAGAACTTTGTTTCTGTGCTGACAGAAGAGGGTAAATCTTCTTTTTATTCAAACAACATGATGACCAGGGAAAGTTTAGCTCTAAAAATCCCTTGGAGTATGATGAACTAAAACTAATTCCTTGTAAGCCTTGTGACTGGGTTTAGCTGTTTATGTGACACACTTACCGCATGTCCTTCAAAGAGGGCCAAAGTTAAGTATTGTATAAAGCTGCAAGGAGGGGGAAAAAAAAAACAGATTCCTTGCCAAAAGTGCATATTATCCAGAGTTAACTAAAAGACTCTATTCCTAAATATGAGAAAGTTAGCTCCGCTTTTGCTACTTTGAATTAAATGGGAAAAGTTACTTGTAAAATCCCACAGATTCCAAAGAAATGTTATACAAATATTTCTATTCTAAACCAGTGTTTCTCAACCTTGGCAACTTTAAGACGCATGGACTTCAACTCCCAGAATTCGCCAGCCAGCCATGCATCCATGGCTGTTCTCCAAGGCTGGCTGGGGAATTCTGGGAGTTGAAGTCCATGCGTCTTAAAGTTGCCAAGGCTGAGAAACACTGTTCTAAACTGTCATGCTATCCTGATAATGCGTCTTCCTTATCTTGAGCACGAGCAACTTAATAAACTGATGCAACTACTTGTTTTATTTCTCTACAGAAATCAAGCTTATGACATATTTCTCTTTGGTGACGATATGTACTATTCTGACTCAAGGACTGGAACTATTCGGAGAGCCAGTAAATACACTGGAAAGGATATTGTTGTAATTAACCTGCAACAACAATTTCCTCAACCTACTGAGATAGTGGTAGTACATCCATTAAAACAGATTGGCAAAAGGATGGATTCTAAAGGACTTGGTAATTTTACTTATCCCAATAAGGAAAGGTTTTGTTCCAAAATGTAATGTTTCTTACAGCAAACATAATTATTGTTTATTTTTCTGTAACAAAATTTCAAAACAAAAAGAGAATATAAAATATTAGAACGACAGTTACGCTAAATACTAAAATAATAAATATGGCAATAATTTAACAATTAAAAGTCTGGTAAAAGAGATGTGTCTTTACAGATTTTTAAATGTGGGGTGGGGTGGGGTGCTAAGCTCCTGAAGGTATGTCCACCCTGGGAGTAATGCTGGAGAAGATGGCCCTGTGGCAGCAGGGACATTTTCAGCAGGGATTCTCCTGCAGATCTTAACAACTTGACAGATGTATAATATGAAAAGCAGTCATTTAAGTAGTTTGGCATTATGGGTTTAAAGGTTGGTATTAAGAGTCTAAATTTGGATCAGTATTAGCAACCAGTGTAGAGTCTTCAATACTGGTATCAAATGGCCTCTTTACCCTGTACCAATTAGCTCAAATTGCTTACTTTACACCACCTACATTTTCTGACCAATTTTCAAGGGTAGCCCATGTTGACCATATTGCAGTAGATAGCGTATTTTGGCATCCAGTGCTGTCCCCTGCAGAAGACTTATAAATGGGGAGATGATAGGGCTTTGCCTGGGTGAATGCAAAGAAATTTAAGGTACTGTGGGTAGCATTGTTCAATCTTTACTTGTAAATAACAGATGAGTGGATTTTTATTTCTTTATTAGATTTATATCCCATCTTTTCTCCAGGAGTTAAAGGCAATGTATATAGGACTCTCATGACTTTTTTCAAAAGACAGCCTGTCATGTAGGTTGGGCTGAATGATACTCACTGTGCGTAGATGTAAGGAAGAGCACTGACATTAGGTGATGAGTTACTAATCTGTATTGGAGGCTAATGCAAACCATTGGCTTAAGTTTAGAAGTCAAGTCACTCACAGCCTAATCTGAGCTCAGCTGGTGCTTGTTAGGGAAAAGAAGCCTTTCAGTGTACATGTTTCTGTTGTGGGCCACGGGGAGACAATAATATTATAATTGCTGGCAGTGAAGGGGCAGGAGTCCTGAGTAAGTAAGTGAGTCTGTCTGACTGACTGAAAGCTGCATGAATATTATTTCACTGATATGAAATAACACACATGTACATGCTTGCTCTGGTATTTTCTCTTTATATGCTAACAGACTTTTAAGAATCAGGTTCCTGATTTAAACCAGATTACTTCCAGTACATCTCTCTGTTTTCCCTTCCAATTCTATTTCCATGCTATTAGTGCTGAGTTATTTCCCAGTGGCTGATTTTCCCCAGACTGTGATACAGCTGACCTTCTTACCTGCTTTCTCTTCTCTTTCCTTGAGTTCCACATATATTGTACAATATCATATAATGTTGAGATTTAATCATTTTCTGTGGTTTTTTCCCCCTTAATAATGTATTACCATTTAAAGCATACTATTTGTTGGCTGCAATCCATTGATTCTCTTTCCAGCAAAATAAACTGAAGAATAGAAATATGGAGGTCATGTTGTCCTCATCTCAAGCTTCTTTTTTCTTTTTTTCTCCTTCTAAGTGCCTCTTTGTAAAGCAGCTTTATAAGGAGCTTAGGTTTCCCAGTTCAGATGAACTCTTTAGTCTTTGCATTTGCCTTATTCAGTTTATCCGACCAGACTAATTAATCGTACAAATGAGATTTACAAGGAGGCCTTACAGCAAGGGAAACCTCAGGATAAAATCATGTAAACTCTATGTCCTGCAGAGGCTAAATCATTATGTGCTAAGAATAAAAATGCACAATTGAACATTGTTATAACAAGGAAATTACAGCAGTTTTCACTTACAGTGCAGAAATAGTTTTAATGGTTAAATGTTTGCTTGACTCAAATTTGGGTTAATGCTTGCAAGCTTTTTTTCTTCCAACCTAGATTAGTGCTTTGTCTCTTGTTATGCTGGTCTATGACCATAATAAAGCTTTGATTTGATTTGTCTCTTGCAGGTCCTATTTTGGTGCCTCCCCCTCCCCTGGTTTTTTTTGTTTGTTTGTTTTTTGTTTTGCCTCTGCACATTACTTTGTCTTTGGGAGGACAAGGTAGAGCTGTCTTGTTATTCACAGACCCCAAACCACACTGTCTATGTGTTGTGAGATTAAGAAGTTTTTGTCAAGCTTTCAAGGACTCCACAGTTCAACCATGAGCTACATATATTCTCTTCTATTGGAGTAGCATGATTGATTATCCAGAAATAAGTATATATTACATGCAGATATTAGCAAAACTGTCCACTGTAATTACTCTGAATTGGGATAATGTTTAACAGTTTAATCTACAGTATATTATATTTTCTTGACTCTTTGGCATCAAGACAGAGAAATTGAAAACATACAAATCTGTCTTTGAAAATGTTTTGACCCAAATCTGGTTATTAACTAAACCTTTCCTTGTTTTGCTAATGAGCATGAATAATTAAGAATCAGAAACTAAAAGGACAGACCAGTACTTTAGTTAGAAAAGCATTTTTCATTCTGAATTGCAGTGACTGATCTTTGGAGGGTATAAGAATCATATGATGTCAATAGCTAAGCCAAGTTTCCTTCAATCTATCCAGAATTCACATATTGATCTAGTTTTTGTCTTTACATTGCAGAATATTTCTGTAGCATGGGTTCTTTATCTAATTCAAGATATCTGAAGTTGCCTATAACATTAATTACTGTTACTGCTGTTAAGAACTCACAAGCATATGTAACCTAATTGTTTATGTATTTTTAAATCCATCAGATGTCAATGAATGTGCATTATGGAATCATGGCTGTACTTTGGGCTGTGTGAATGTTCCTGGATCCTATTATTGCACATGCCCAGAAGGTTTTATTCTCTTGTCTGATAAGAAAACATGCTATGGTAAGTAGCACTGTACTACTTTTGCCAAACTTTTCAAATAATTTCTTCTGATGCTCCTGATGTGTATTTGACAGCCAAATTACTGATCTGTCAAATTGTCAAAATTCTATAGATGAGCTGCGGTTTGTCATCAAGTCATAGACGTCGCATTAATTTTCCATATATCAATAAAATATATATAATAGGATTCTCCTTCTTTTGGATCATCATACAGTGGGTAAAATAAGAAAGAATATGTTATCTATCTCATAAGCATAAGAGGAGAATTCATTGAACTTTGTGGACAAGAGACACAGTTTACCTGAATCCGCAGGGCCTAT